TCTGTAACATCATGCACTGGTCACTTGGAAAATGTTGGTTCATTGAGTTACAAAGATCTTCCAAATACACAGTAAAACGCCCCACTGTATACTCGGGGGTAAATAAGAAAGCAAAGGCAAACGACCTTGAAACACCATTGGCCTCCCAGACACCCTGAAAGGATCTCAGGGAGTCAAGGAGTCTCAGGCTAACACCTTGAGAATTACTGCTGTGGTGTACAAAGAGGGTCCTGAACTGGGAAAGAGGCAAACCGCGTGCTGTATCAGACTCGCCTTTCATCAGCTTGGGCATGTCCCTGAACTTCTCTGAGCCCTGTCAGACAAGCTAGATCATTCACTATATCTTAACAATTCCCCATGAATTCCCCCATTTATGCCTTTCTCTGCTGAGCCTGAGATGGACTCTTCTCTGCCCAGTTCTCCAACTGCCACCTGCCAATTGTACCCCTTCTTGAAGGCATAGCCACTAGCCACCATGATATGTTCTCTATTCCCCCTCTTCAGACACATCTCTCCTTCTTAGGCCCTTTACTGCCTGTGTTTTAGACCTCTCCTGGGGATCTTATCTCACTCTGCCCTAGGAATTAAAATGACCAGAATCCTTGTCTGGCACCCCATCTCTCTCCCAACTGGACTCTCAGTCTCTGAAGAGCAGAGACCACCAAATCTTGTTCACATTTGTGTCTCCTAGCCCAATGTCTGACACAGAGTAGGCACCCGGTGAAAGTAAAATTAATTGGTTAGCATGTTTCAGAAAGATCTATCTGTAGGTTTTAAATGGATATTTATGGGAAAATAGGCTGGGAAGAGGTGACTGGGAGGTGAAGGGAGAGGAATGGCAGTAAAGGGAAATAATGAGAAAACTGATGGAAGGGGCCTGAGGGTAGAGGTCAGAGTGCACACCTATGGGCTAAAGAGACAGAGTGTGATGGGGGCACAGTAAGAAGATAAGAAGGGCATTTTGTGATGGACTTAGAGGATGGGGAGGGGAGTGGGATGCTTACGGAATGGCATTCCATTGGACTAAGACACTAAAGAATACTTGGGATGAAAATCAGGAGACACTGGGTGGAGGATGACTGCTTATGTGAATGAGGAGCATGAACAGAGGTGCTAGGAAGTCAACCCCAGTCTCTCTGCACACAGTGTCAGCAATGCCATTGGATCTCTTGTGTGGGGCTCCTCAAGAACTGCCTTCCCAGGCACCCAGAAACCCTTGCCAGCTCCCACACATCTGGTAAGGAGCAAGCCTGCACGAAGCACAAGTGGAAAAGAGTAAGACACTCTGTCTTTTTCCCTTCAAATATTTGCGGAGGGAGTGTGGCAGGGGCTCAGGGACTGCGGTGCTTATTGCTCACACTACATTAAAATTCAGATTGGCCAGTGCAATATCCCTGGCATAACCGTTCTGTGCTGATATTTTTATAACTCTTAATATCAAACAAATTGCCTCTTCACTGAGACAGTTTAATGTGACGGGGGCCGTGCCCGCCAGCTTCCTCACGCCGGCCCCATAAAGATCACCGTTCTGTTACTGGGGACAGAGGAGCTATGAATTTACTGTCAAAAATATGACTGGATTATGCAGAGTAAATCTTGGACTGTATTAAAAGGATCATGGTGTTTTAATTTCTTTTCTCTCCCCATACACCCACCACCACAGCCTTTTTTACTAATAAAACAAGTTGGGGGCCTCCAGGTCAAATCATCTATGAATCATTTTTTTGGCCTAGGTCCCTGTTGTCATATTCATGCCTCTTCTTCAGTCATCAATAGATACCTTTGGCTCCACCTTATATTCAATAAAGGTCCCCTCTTTCCTTCATGATATGGGAGAGCAAAAGATTTGAATGAATTTTTCTAGAAAATCCCAACCATACTTCAACTTCAGGGTCAACAGAATCTTCTCTTGTTTGGGTAAATTTTACCCTAATGGCATCTGGGGAGTACAGAGAACTATAGTTGAACATTATACTCTTCATCCTGAGCTCATTCCATCAATGACTCCCTTTATTACAAAGATATGATTTCCCACGTAATTAGGAAAAATAAACTGTTTTTATTGAACAATCAGTTCTCCCTTTCATTTATAAATCAAGGACCTAGAAAAATGCCAGTCAGAGAAATCCATTTGAGATAGTATGTATTCCCAAATTGAGTTGTTATAAATCAACCCAAAGCAAAGAAATCTGAAATTTTTCTATTCCAAGACACTTTAATGTAGGTAGTCATTCCTTTCCAAATACTGAACATAGTTTGTGAACTCTACCCTCCCACCATTACTGCCCCAGAGAGCCACTCAGAGACCCAGGATACCAAAGTTTAGAGCAAGTGAGTAAGGTGTCCTCCAAGAAATACATCGATTGGAGGAGCATGTCAGGAGAAGTCTCAGTACCTTTGCAAGTATGTATGTAAGTGCTGACGGCAGCATGAATGCAAAGAACAAATGATCAAAGTGTTTTACATTATCTTCCAGCCTTCCTAGACCACATACTCCAGACTGACAGACAGACAGAGATACAATGGATACCAGTCACACATCCTTGTTTCCAAGGCAGGGAAGAAAGCTCTCACTTAAAAAGTACCCAGTCACTTTAAAGTGTTACCTGTGTCAGGTCACATAAGGTCACATAATTGTAAATGTTTTTCTCTGATATCTTTATATCTCAAATCCTCCTTTTCTTCTCTAGTTATATAATACTTAGGATGACTCCAGCATTTTCAAGTTTAATATTTTAATACACTTGGAAATTGATATCCTCACATAACATACTTAACACCAATCAGGGGTAACTTCACTCATTATTATAACTTGACACACATTTGTTTTGCAAATGTTTTAAAAAGATTCAAACCGAATAATCCTTTTCTTTAAATACCATATATTTTTTGGTTCTTATGGCTGAAGCCGTACCCACCTCCTTTGCTTCCAAAACATTCTCAGATTGCCCTGGCTTGCAGAACCAGTGGCCTGTGAAAATGTACAAAGTTCTAGAAAGGCTGATCCAGGCTAGGAACTCAGACTAGGCCCTGTAGAATTGTCAACTATTAAAATATGTCACATCTTATGCTTATGAAACCAGGAAAAAGCATAAATCACTGTTTTTATAACTGACTGCTGTGGTCTGAATGTAACCCCCAGAGTTCAAGTGTTGGAAACTTAATCTCCAATGCAACAGTGTTAAGAGGATGGATATTTAAGGGTTATTGGGCTCTGTCCTCACTAATGGATTAATGGTGCTATCATGGGAGTGAGGTTAGTTATCAAGGGAGTGGATTTTTGATAAAATGGATGAGTCTGGCTCCCTTACTCTCTTGCTCCCTCCTGCTCTCTTGCCCTTCCTTCTTCCATCATAGGATGATGCAGCAAGAAGGTTCTCACCAGACACAGCCCCCAACCTTGGATTTCCCAGCCTCTAGAACAGTAAGAACAAAAAAACTTTTCTTTATAATTTACTTGGGCTGTAGTATTCTGTTATAGCAACACAAAACAGACTAAGACACTGACTATGATAAAAAATGGAATGAACTGAATAACACAAAATTAGGAAGTCTTGATAATAGTAAAAATTTAGAAACAATCAAAATGAATAAAAATATGTGCATTGTTAAAAAAAGTCATCCACAGAACATACAAATCTACAATAAAACACTGTAACCACTTAAAATTTTATTTTAAAAGAAATATTTAATATGGTATAAAAAGGTATTTACAATTTAACATGGAATGAATAAAGCAGGTCAAAACAATGTTTACAATACTACCCTGTATTTTAATACATATACATTTTGAGATTTAAAATAAATTCCAAGCTGTTTATAGTAGAATCACAGGTGATTTTGTTTTCTTCGTGTTGCTTATCTCTATTGTCTTAATGTTTGATGGGGAAAAATAAGTGTATTGCTTTCAAAATAAGAGGGGAAAAAAGTAGTCTGGAAAACTATTTTCATTGCACATCTGATGGAGTTAAAAATTGAGCCTAGTTCTTATAACACATTCTTGTATTCATGTATCTTAACAAATAATACTTATGGCCTGAGGTGAGCTTGCCCTCTGGTACTGCAGAAAAAAACCAAAGGCCCACTACCTGCCCTCTGACGACTTAACAGTTCTGCAACCCAGACAAGCAGAAAACTTCAATCCCTGCCTTTGAAGTGAGACATGAGGGCTCACCTCTGCCAAGGGCCTCTGAGGTCTCCACAGCTCCTTGGACTGACCTTGGAGCCAGCACTGCCTCCGGTACCTTGAGGGTGCCTGGGACCACCGCCCCTCTCCCGCCCCCGCCCGCAGGAAGGCTACTGACGTCCCAGGGGATCAGGGTGTGGATGAAGTAGCCTGGGCCTGCAGCTACTTTCCCAAGTCTACTTTCCCATCCAGACAGCCTGTCCCACTGCCCTTGGACACCCACCTCGTCACACTCCTCTGTTCCTCCCCTTCCCATCCTCTCTGTCCGGTGTCTTCCAGGCCATCTCCAAAGAAACCTGCTGCTCCACCCCCAATCTGTTGCTTGTGCCTTACTAGAGGTTTCTGCCCTTATCAGCGCCAAGTCCCAGGGAAGGAAGAAACATGCTCCAGGGCTGGAAGTTCTTCTTTGAGGGGAGGAAGTTCCCTAGAGTCTGCAGCAGATGGGGGAGGCCCCAGTGGAGCGCACGTGGATGCATTTCTGGGAGGAAACCAAGTACCATCCGCTCTCGTTCGCTCCCATCCAGTGTTTTCTTCCCCCAGTGAGTCTCTTAATTTTGCTCATTTATCTTAAAGAGCTCCGTAAGCGCCGTGGGCTCCGGTGGGGGGTGGGGGGGCACACGGGGCTTCCGACCCCCGACCCCCACGCCTGCCTCCCAGAGGAGCCATCGAGTGCGGACCAAATCTCATTTTCCTACAAATAGTTTGTCAGAAGCAGCAGGGCAAGTAATAAATCACGGAGAGCGAGAGCGGAGAGGAAAGGGGGGAGGCTGGCGAGGGGAGGGCGGGGCCGAAGGGGCGGAGGGAGGGCTGGCGGCGCAGATGGAGAAGCGCGCGGGAGGGTGCGAGCGGCGGGGAGGGGCGCAGGCTAGGGAGAGACAAACGGAAAAGGAGGGAAGGAGATCAAAGAGACAAAGAGAGGAAAACATGAGAAAGGGAGGCTGAGAAAGGGAAAAAGAGCCAGGAGAGTCCAGAGAAAGGAAACCAAGGGAGAGGGAGAGACTGAAGAGAGGAATGGAAAAGACTGAAAAAGATAGCAAGGGGTGGATTAGGAAACAGAGAAGGGGAAATAAAAGGAGGGGAGAAAATGAATCCAAAGAGGATGCTAAAAAGGAGGAAAGAGAGAGGTCTGGTAGAGAGGCAGACTCGTGAAAGGAACGTGGGCGAGGGAGTGCTCCATGTGTCCTGAGCCCTCTCTGTGCCCTGAGCCACAGGGGTGTGCCTCTAGAATGACTCCTTGACCCCCTCCTCCCCACCCTTATCCCTGCTGCCTGCTCCCAGTGGACTGCAGGATGCAGGTAAGGATGGGGTCATCTTGGTTCACTGTTAGCCAGCCTAGAGAGACAGTCATTGCAGTGTGTGTGTGTGTGTGTGTGTGTGTGTGTGGTGGAGACAGGAGACAGGGAGGGAACCTGCATACCAACTATTATGATGAAGACAGGCATCCTTAAGCAGCCTGCTTCAGTCTTCTAAGCCTCAGTTTTCTGATCTAGAAAATGGGAACGATAATCTCTCTTTGCAAGCTTGAGAGAATTGAAAAGATGACCCACAGGAAAAGCATCTAGCTCACAGTTCAGGCTGTTGATTAGGAAACGCAGCCTCCCTTGAGTTTTTGTGTGGGTGAACCTGGCTCCTGGGGTCCCAGGTGGGGGTGCCAGGCTTCAGGATCTGCACACTGCCTCACCACCCCCGCAGCCTGTGATCCCAAGCCAGGCACTCTGATCCGGCAGCTGTCAACACAAGCACACTCCAGTGCTTTCTGCTTTGCGGTTGGCCTCCTTCTGGAAGCTTTGAACACTAGTGAGATCATCACTGTCAAACTCTCTGGGCTTCTGGTGCAAGAGCAGTCAGATAAGGAGGAATATGAGGTGCCAACTCTCTACTTTCGTCCACAGCCCTCAGCCTCACCCTGCTGACCTCTGGCTCCTGCTTAGCTCAGGAACTGTGGACTCAGAACAAAGTTTGAGGTTCTGCTTCTCCGATTCACCCCTTTCTCCTTCCTGATTACTGGCATGGAGCCAGGCACTGCAGGACGGAAATCAGGTAACTTTACAGATGGGAGGAATGAAGTGGTGCTTGTAGGGGCCTACACTGTTCGGGGAACCAATGTAAACTGCATGAGGACAGGGATCTTGTCTGCATGGTCCACAGAACTATCCTAGCACAGTGCTGGCACAAGTTGAGCTCATGAAATGAATGAGTCATTTGATATTGTGAATATGCATCCACTTATTCATACCTTATGACTAAGAAAACAAGCTGTTATTCCATTTTATGGAAAGGGCAACTGAGACACAAAATTACAGGCAGGAAGCGATCAAACTGGGGGTTGAATCCAGAGCAATCTGTCTCCAAAGCCTGTGTTCCTTCCACTGCAGCCCATGGGGTCCAGGCATCCTGCCCGTTGATGCCTGAGGCACCAGGGAATTAGGAGTGGCAGAGACCCAAACCTGTGATTCCTGCCGAACCTTCTCCCTACCCTCCAGATCCTGGAGAGGGCATCCCACAATGCTCTCCATTCATTTCTGGGCTCCATGCCATTGGCATTGTCTTCCAGCTCTGGACTTCAGGCTATGCCACTTTCAGACCTTCAGCCCCAGCCCCTTGCCCTGCTTGGGACTTTGAAGATGAGGTTACATGCCTCAGATTTTCTCTCACCTCAGCTCTCAGGATCCCAGCCATACCTGCTCTGCCCCCTCCCCTCTAACCCTCCAGCAACATGGGCTTCCTCTGGGTACCTCATGTCCAACCCTGACAAGCAGCAGAGCCCAGGGAAAAGAGGACCAGGTTCCGCTCTCCTGTCATGTACCAGCTAGATGACTCTAGGCAATTCTTTTCATCTCTCCAGGACTCAGGTTTTTCAACTGGAAAATGGGGATTTAAAAAAAATCCATGCCTAACTCCCAAGGCTGTCATAAGAATGGATTAAGGCAAAAGCTGTGAAGTGCTTTGCAAATGAGAAAACCTCCTATTCTTCACTTTCTTCTGATGGCAGATCCCCAGCTCTCCTTCCCAAGGTTCTTGCTCTCCTGGCACAATGTACCCTGAGCACTGCAGGTGCCTCTACCATCTTTGCTTCATGCAGAACCATGACATGTCACCATTTAAAACCCCAAAAAAGAGCCTCACAAGTGGCATAATAAAGCAATGGCTTAGAGCTCCAGCAAGAGTAAAAATTCAACTCTCCAAATTTTAGCTCTTCCACTTACTAACAGTGTTAACTTTGAACAATCATGTTACCTCTCTAAGCCTCAGTTTCCCCATCTAAAAAGTGGGATAATAATACCTGTCTTACCAGGTAGAGAATGTGTATGTAGCACTAGGGACATATTAAATGCTCAATAAATGGCTACTATTGTTATCTCCTCTAATTTTAGTCTCAACTCTTGAAAAATGAGTCCATTGTCAGACTTCGTAGCTTGTCACCTCTTTCTCGATGGTCTCAGTGTCAGTTCCTTGGTGCATATCCTTGTTTTCCCCTCCTTCAGTGCTGACCACAGCCTCTTCTTCCTGCCCTCAAGCCAACCACCGCATTCTGTTTTGACCTTATCACCACCATGGGTTTCCAGGGAGCCATACCACAAAAGGAAGAGAGGACACAGATGAGGGGAGGGGACCTGCCCAAAGTCACAGGGTTGCTACACTGGCAGAGCCGCTTCTAGGCTCACGGAGCCAGTCATTGGGATTGTCCCAACCCAAAGCCCCAACGGGAATCGAATTCCTTAAAGCCCAAGACTAGCTCCCCTTGTGAATACCCTTCTTTTCAAAGTCCTTTGCAAGGGTGCCCTTGTGGCCTGGCCTCCCTTTGCCCATGTCTTTCCCAGCCCATCTTTTCAGCCCCTTCTGATTACTGTCACTCTCCACTTCCTTGACTGTCTTTCTCCACCAGTAAGCTTTCTTCCACATGATTCCTTCATAGCTTGTTCATGCATGAGCCAGGCCTCATACTGGCTACTGGGGGTACAGGAGAGTCTGAGGCACAGTCTTTCCCCTCAGAGAACCCCAGTCTACTGGGTGCTACATGCCCAGTTAAACTCCCATTCTAACCTTGCAGCTCAAGCTGTCTTGTCAGTCCCTGAAGCCCACCTTCCTCCATGAAGCTCACCCAGATTGGCTGACTGATTCAAGACTGCTTCCCAAATCCTCTCAAAGGGCACCATTCCTCCCATTCCTCTTTGGAAACTATATGCGTGAGATATTTTTACTCCTTTTTAAAACTCCACCTCCTTCTCTGTTGACATAATATATATGGCTGGCATTTTAAGACCATTTTCAAAATGTATACTTTCTTATCTGTGTTTCCTGAACGTAAAAGTTTATGTCACTGGATTGTACTTGAGACCCCTAGAGGTAGAGAGCTCAGTTCTGTGTGAGTCTCAGGGTGTCAAGGCCCAGAGGAGGGGGCAGCCAGAGCTGCCTTCAGGAGAGGAAAGACACCCACAGAGCTGCCAGAGCTATGCAGATGCTGTTGGAGGAGAAGATGAGGTGCTATGGATGTTAGGGAAGGAAAAATCCACTTCCAGATGTGGAGAATTTAGGGATGCACCCATCCTTGAGAATCAGCTCAAATGCTATGCCTGGCAAGACAGCTTCTCTGATACCCCAACTGCATTTTAACTTCTAAGGAAACACCCCAGTTTCCCTGGACTCACTTTGTGACACTTAGTGGATTCTCTATGGGAGTTTGGGACAGTTATATTTGTCCACAACTTTACTTTCTCTCCCTGTGACTCAATTTGGCAAATTCCTCCTGAAAAGAGGCCAGATTCTATCACCTTTGGAATCCCCTCCCTCCACAACATCCTCCTAATGTCATGCCTTGTACTAAGTAGGTACTCAATAGGTGTTTGAGGAATGGAAGAAAAAAGAAAGGGAAAGAGAGGAAGGAAGAAAGAAAAGAGGAGGTAGAGGAGAATAGAGGAGAGGAAGAAGGGATAGAAGGAAGATGGAAGGGGGAGTGGAAGGAAGAAGTGAAGGGAGGAGCATTAAGGACATGCCCACAGGTGGAAGCAGTCCTCTTTAATGCAGGGCTCTTCTCCGTGCTCTTGCAGTGCCAACAAGTAGCTCTGGGAACAGATTTGATTTCCTACTGTCACCCTGGGGAGACAGCCCCTGTCTCCTAAGCACCCTGTGTGGAAACCAAGACTTTATGGATAGTACTGAATATGTGTTTCCAATGAGAAGTAACAGCTGCAAACTCATTTGGATGATTAAGATGGCTCAGATCAGCAACCTTGAGCAAGATCCAGAAAATAAAAAAATCTGTCAGCACTACTACAGGAGGTTGCCAGAACAGGAAGTTGCCAGACAGAGGGGAAGTGCCAGCAGCCAGGGTCCTCTGGCCCAGGTGCATCTGAAGCGTCCAGGTGAGAACAGAACTGCCAGATGGAAGACACATGGTGACGGCTGGGAGGGCCAAGGGCTTTGCACCTTGTCCAGGGGTAGGAAAAATGCAGTCTGCTGAAGTGTGAACCAGATGGAAATGTATTCTCACATTTCTCTTCCTTCTTCTGAGACATGGTGGACCTTGGATTCCCATACAGGTTTCTCCATAGCAGGGTAGGAATTTGTCCCACATGCAGGGATGAGCCAGCCCCAGGAAGAGCAGTGGGCTGGACCAGAGCTGCTTCAAGCTGATGGCATGGCATTGAGATGTTTGTCCTAATCTGTAAAACCTATTTTCCCGCTCAAGGTGGTACCATGTTGCAGCTTGTCTATACAGACTTTCTAAATAAGACTTGGGAAGTTTTTTTTGTTTTGTTTTGTTTTTAGAAAAAATCTTAGACTGCAGCTCTCACTATTTCTACTCAACACAAATCCTTCTCCCTCTCCACATACATCTGGTCTTTCCTTAAGTGTTGCTAACCACATGAGAGTCTCCTCTGCTCTGAAACTCACTCTGCCCTCTGTGTCAATTACATGGTTACTCTTCATCACAGGTTTCCAAAAAATCTTCAGCCATGCACTCAATCAGCAGATCTTTTATCGAGAACATGCTATAAGCAAGGCTACAGGAGAAACAAGATAGATCACACAGTTTCTTTCTTTAAGGAGCTTCTCTCCAGGATAAAGAATTTAAACAAACCAGTAAATCATTATAGTATAATATCCTGCATTTCATACATACATAAGGCCCTATGATGAATGTCAAAGTTGATCAAAATTTTAAAGGTCATCTAGCCTTTAAAATATCCAGTTCCTCACAGGGTGGCCTTACAAATCCCATCACAACATCGTCTTTGCACCCAGCATTTGGAAGGCCTAAGTTTTGTGGTTATGGAAAAAGATCAGAGCCTCTTGATGGAATAATTTAGGAGACATGCCTGCACTTCTTGGTGTTTCCATGCCTCTCTCAATCCTGCTGGCCATTTGAATCCAGGGCTTAGCCTCTCCAGGACTCAGTTTTCTCCTCTGTTAACCGAGAGGGTTGGACTCCATGGCTTTTGAGTCCCTTCCAGAGCTAATATTTTATGATCTATGATTAAGACTGGGATGACATTGTTGAGCCTGCTGTCCAGAGAATGACCCACCAACTTTCATAAAAACAATCATAATTAACCTATGTTAATTGGTCAATAAAACAATCACAATTTTATAGCGTGAAACCTGAGACCTGCTGAGATCAACGCTACTGGTGAGCCAAGTGGATGTTCAGCCTTAGAAACAAAATTGCTGACTACTAACCCCAATGTCATATTAGTCAAAGTGACATAGACTCAAACTTATTCTGGTTGAAATAAAACTAGCTGATGGAAAAACTGAAGGGCACGTAAAACAATTTTAGTGTTAGAAGAACACAGGTCAATCAGATTATAGGGGCTTCTTAGGGTAAGGACTGGTATAAATGAATCCAGAGCTATGTTCTCCCCTTAAAAGGACTCTATCATAACCACACTAGAGCCCAGGCAACCTGGGGTCAGCGAATTAGGGCTGGACCCTCTCATCCTTTCACAAGTTTAATCTGCTCATTATTTGTCCCATCTCAGATTTGGGGATCATCTCTCACTCCTGATTCTCCACTTTCCCCTTAGACTTGATAGAATTCTGCTGATCTTTTAGGCTCACCCTCAAGGTCTTTCTATTTTTATACCACCCTGTTCATAATAAGAGTTATCAAGTACACCACCTCCTATGTGCCAGATGATTGTTGTATTTTATCTCAGTAAATCCTTACAACAATTCTAGGAGATTGGAACTTTTCTCACCAAAATTTTATACTAAAGGAAACCGAGGCTCAGAGAGTTCAGATAACTTGCCAAGGTCACACACCAGTAATTAGTGGAACCAGGGTTGAAGCCCAGGTCTGGTTGCTTACAAAACTGTTTTTCTAACATCTAAAGATCTGCCCCATTCAGCCCCTGAGCCAGGTCTACCCTAGCACCCCTCAAGGAAGAATGAGATAGTCACACTGAGAATTATCAGTAATTTCACCTTGTCCAAGAGGAGCAACTCAATGTTGACAAGAGCAAAGTAGGGGCTGAAGGCTGACCTGGCCTTGTCCTAATCTGTAAAACCTACAGATTTGGTGCTCAATAAATGTTTGAGGAGGGGAAGAAGGAAGGAAGGGAAAGAGAGAAAGAAGAAAGAAAAGAGGCAGTAGAGAAGAATAGAGGAGAGGAATAAGGGCCAGAAGCAAGTGACTTTTAGCACAAGGCATATCCTGCCAGGGAGAGAGAGGTTCATTGCAGATGCTGCATGTGGCTGGACAAGCAAAATCCTTGAAGGTCAGCCACTCAGCTTCCATTATCCTGTGTCATCTATGCCAGGAAGGTTTCCAGACCAGTACAGAAAGCCAAATTCACTCTAGTTAGAGCTGTAGACCCTGTATAGTAACTACCAGGTTTAAAAAAAAAGTATACATGTAGACTTACAATCTATACACCTACCATCTTCTCACTTGTGAAGACAGCAAAACAATTGCCATAATGTTCAAAAGTCAGCCCTCAAATATGAGTTGAAGCCAGTTGTGGTGTAGAGCACCTGTAATCCTAGCTACTTCAGAGGCTGAGGTGGGAGAATTGCTTGAGTCCAGGAGTTTGAAGCCAACCTGGGAAACCCCTATCTCAAAAAAAAAAAAAAAAAATAGATAAGCAAATAACTTGTCAACATAATGTAAGGAGGCTCTGCTTTGAGAAAACATGTTATACAAAGGTACAAATGCATCAAACTTGGTTCTGGAGGAAGGAATTCTTCAGGTTACCTATAGGTTTTGAGTTGCCCAAATTCAACTTAGACACGAGTTTTCTAGAACACATCTAATGTGTAAAGTGATGATCATTTGCAGGTATATGACCCTAGAATGCATTACCAGCAGCCACACTGTGATCATCTGCCCATGCTAATGGAAGTTTCTCTTCAACTTGGTATAGCAGTCAGTAGTCATTCTTGCTGTTGTGATATCACTAACCAGAAATACTCCAGAAACATATGTTAGTAAGTTAAACAAGGACATGACTGGTTATTATGTACATATTTAATTAACACTCCTATTTGTATAAGACATAATATGGTGTTATATGCCTATTCTAAATGCTTGATTAGCAATACATAATATTGTTAATGTTTTAATGAAGAATAACACCATGGCCTTTCCCAAGAACTCACATTGAACAAAGTCCCTAATATGTGAGAAATGTTAACTAAGAGCCACAGGCTTCCCAAGCTATGAGGACTGAATCCAGCCCTGGTTCTTTTGAGTTGTGAGATATTGCTTAAATCACTTCACCTCTCTGAGCCTTGGTTTCCTCATCCGTACCTTCTGAAGGAGACCTACCCCTGAAGCCCTACCCTCCCCATGCTTTACTCCAGTCTTGGAGAGCCACTTCCTCACCATGCTGCCTCTGAGCCTGCTGCTACTCTGCCTGGTTCACTGTTCTCCTTTTTTAGCCCACACAGCTCCTGTCACCCTCAGGTCTCAGTGCAAGCATCAGCTCCTCAAGAAGCCTCACTGCAGAAAGGATCAAGTCAAATCCTTCCATCATCATTCACATTGTATGGTATTTATCACCGATGCAGATTTCTCAGCATTTGTGTGATGATTTCATTCATGTTTATCTCCACCAGTGGACTATAGGCTTCTGAAAAACGACACTGTGTCTGTTTGTACTCACCACCATACCCCAGAAACCACACCATAGTGGGAGCTCAATTCCTGTGTCTTGGGTAAAGGGGAAGCATTAATCAATCAGTTGATATAAAATAGGATGACATCCACCTGAATCATCATCATCATCATAAAAAAAGAATAGCCGACTCCCACCCTTACTGCACCCTCCCCCAATACATGACCCTGACCTTCAGGAACATGCCATCTTGAATTATAAACACCTGATCTTACAAGTGTCTCATTCCTTCTGCCATCTGCCAGCTATCCACCACCCACCATTATCTACCAAGCCAGGGTGTCCTGAGTGAATGGCACCTTTAATGGCAGGCTCAGATAACTATCTGCCTCTATGCTTATTCTCCACTACTTCCTTTTTTCCCCCAAATGAACATCTTGTCCTTCTTCCCTCTTTGCCTCTCTCTCTTGGGATCAGCAGAAGACCCTAACCCATTTTATTTAACAAATCAGCTACTGGTTAGTATCTTTTTAAAAAAAATCTGTGCATTTCCTTCCTTCCCTCTCACTTTGCTTTTCCCCTCTCATCATTCCTCTCTCACCATATTCTCCCTCTAGTCATTCCATTTGTGAGCCAAAAATTGACCTTACTTGTGACTGACAAATGTAAGAGCAGTGCTCAAGTGATCTGTCTGAATCATTGAGAAGGAAGGTGGAATTAGATGTCATAAAGAAATGGTGCCACCAACCTAGAAAGTCCTTGAACATGCCACATCCTTCTCCAGAGTCCCCTCAAAAGTCTACCCCTTCAACATCCCTTAATTGATTCCCTTTCTTCAAGAAGTCAGTATTCAGGGTGAATGCAAAATCTCATATATTCAATTTTCAGGTTGTTTAATTACTCACACAGCAACAATATTATATGCTTGTTCATCTCATTGAATACACAGATGTGCAGGTCTCAGCTACACCATTAGTGGCTGATGAGGGAACTCTCAGGACAATTTACATTATTGTTTCTGTGCAAAAGGTCTGGACTCCTGAGCTCCTTTGTAATTTTCATCATCCCTTTTGAGAGTTGTAAGCAATCTGGTAATTATGGAGAAAGATCTCTCCATTGGAGATAAAGCCACCCAAATTTTAAAGAATGCTGGCAATGGCCTGAGAATGCCAGGTCTTTGCTTTAGGAGCTAGATGGAACTCCAAGACACCTGACCTGGAACAAGTTCTCAGCAGATCCAGAGTAAATGAGGTCCATGCAAAGTCTGCAGCAGCAACAGCAGCAATCATTTGCAGAACTCCATTTCCACCACACTGAAGGTATCTGCTATTCCTGGGCCCTCTTTCTTCCCATCTTTCTGATAATGCTGTGGTTTTCCTCTCTCACCAACCAACCATCAAGGGAGCCTGCAGTTATAAGATCATAAAAGTCACAGCAGCAGCAACAACAGCAGCCATCTTTCATGGAGCATCTCCAAGTGCGTGCCACACCCTTTGCAAACACTGTCAAACAACTTGCAGATGAGAGGATATAAGCTAAATGACAGAGACCGAGTCAGGGAGCTGAGATCTGAACATCTCTGGCAGTCCTCTTTCCTCTAAGCCACTGCATCCCCTGTCTCTATTCTCAGTTCTGGGAACTGACATGAATATGTCTGGGTTCCTGATCCAAGGGGGTACATTATACAGAGTAGACAAAATCCAAATTGCAAGTGTAAGATGTATATAGAAACCAAGGTGAGCCCTAGAGAAAAGCAACTCATGTCCAGTCAGAGGGGTAAGGGGAGAGGGGGCAGAGCAATGGGCCTGAAAATAGGAGCAGTAATAGCAGGCACTCCCAGGTCCAAGACTCAGGGTAGGGTCCATGGGGAAGGTTGGGGCTCCATGGTGCACCCCTGTCCACACATGCTGTGGATTTCAAGGCAATCTGGACACCAAAATGCCAGAAATGGAGCAACCACTTGCTCCATTAAGAGCATGTGGCATACATACCTTAAGCAGTAGGTGGGGCTCTGCAATGTTATATATTACACATGGACCAAGTCCAATTTTCAATGCACAGGGAGATCCACTCGTTAAAAGGTTTCTAAGAATAAAGAAATTTAAAACAACTAAACAAGCAGCCACCCCCACTTGTCCTGGCCTGCAAGCTCGTGTTCTCCTGAAGCAGGTCTTCCTGAAGTGGGACAGCTGGGCTGACCCTAGCTGTTATTTTGTCAGCCCACCTCGGTTTCTGATGAGCAGTGAACCACTGATTGTCGCCACTGATGGCTGCCATGTCCTATTTGTACTGGTCTCTGGGGAGGAATATCCACAAGCTTCTTCACAATTCATTTCAGCTCCTCACCTTCTTCCAGGCTGACGCTTCCCCTCTGCTGCCAATCTCCCACCACCCCGCTTAAGATGAACAGGCTGGGTCGCTATCCCCTGTAGTTCCTTTGTGGGCTACAGAGCCGTATGCATTTCATAATTCTGCTTTTTCTTCTATCACAGGACACCAAGTCTACCTTCTTTTTCCTGAAAAGAGAAGTACAGGGTACAGAGCAAGGCATTGGGGAATAGGAATGGCACAAGTCAGGCTCCTGGGAGGGGGTTCTAGCTCTGCGGCTCATCAGCAGATCAGTTTGGCCTTGTGACCTGGTTGCTCTGAGCCACAGGTTTCTAATCTGTATAAGGTAGACAGGAGGAGCAGTTACAGTGAGGGCTTCTCGGGATTACAAAAAATCATGTGTAGGGCACCTGGCATGAGGCAGCTATGACTATTACGTGTCAGCCTCACAGACACAAAATAATCTCTTCCATATGGTTAGGTTTAAACAAATATCCATTGTGACCTGTAACACGAAGCCAAAGCACTATTTGGGAAATGAGAATAAAGTACTAGACATGGTTTCTGTCTGAAAAAGCTCGTAAGTGATTTGGCTGGGACACCCAACAGGCCCCCCAACCCCCTGCATAAACACACAGGCAGACACATCCTTCTATGCCCCTGCAGCAAGATGGCCAGGCTAGGTTGTTGAATGGAAGCAAATTCTCTGGTGAGGTTTTCTTCCCTTTGGACCTCTGAGCTCTGTGAGGTCTGTGGATTGCAGCCCTTATAGATTGATCTAAAAGATCAAGCAGAGGTTCCTTACCAGAGAGTAACAGGTGAAGTGAGGAGTAGGGAGGAGGAAGGGCCTACTGTCAACTGGGCACGTTCTCTGCCCCAGTCTCTGTGCTGTATGTGCATTCCAATTATTTAACTTAATTATAAGGTAGCACTGAAAATACTACAATGAACACTGTCCTGCTTCACCCTGATCCCCCACCAAGATTAAAGGATTCATTTTCCAGCTCCTGGACCTCTCTGAACTACCCTTTATAAAGAGAGCCCACTCACCCAAGGTCAAGCCCCAGATCCAATGAGTGGTCAGTATGGTGCTCTAAAGGCCTCTTCCCCCTCATCCTAAGTCAGTACCACTCTGCAAAGCCATCCAGCTTCAGGGCTCGGCATCGCCTACATTGCTGCTCAGCTTCTTCCTCTGTCCAACTCTACTTCCTTCTCTTCCCCAGCAGATGCTGCTCCCGGAAACACACTACAATAAACTTTCTGCACATTTATTTCCCTATGAAGAAACAGAGGCACAGAGAGATTAAGTAGCTTTCCAAGTAGGTCATGCAGTGTTTTTGGTTTTTTGTTTTTTTTTTAAGACGGAATTTTGCTCTTGAGGGCAATAGCACAATCTTGGCTCACTGCAACCTCCACCTCCTGGGTTCAAGCAATTCTCATGTCTTAGACTCCTGAGTAGATAGGATTACAGATGCCCGCCACCCTGCCCAACTAATTTTTGTACTTTTAGTAGAGACGGGGTTTTACCATGTTGGCCAGGCTGGTCTCAAACTCCTGACCTCAGGTAATCCACCTGCCTAGGCCTCCCAAAGTACTGGGATTACAGGTGTGAGCCACTGCACCCAGCCAGTCATGCAGCTTTTAAATGATAGAGTTGGGCTCAGACCCAAGGTTGTATGACAACAAGACTGTCATTTTCAGTGCACAGGATGAAATCCCTTGTTAGCCCTTAGGAATTCAATGGCTTAAACTCTAAAAGTAAAACTAAAACTCTTAAAACTTCCCTGGAAGAAGCAGGATGTGTACTTCAGGCCCGTAAACATCCAAATGAGGTAAGTTCTTATAGTTTAAAACAGATTATAGCACTTAGTCACTTCTCCTACTGCGAAACTGTTTCTAACCATCTATGCAGGCTGACTCATGTAACTAACAAGTGCAGAAGGGCCCAGCTGGACAGCCAGCAAGGAAAGCCCAGGCACCCCAACATGGTGTTCTTACAAGCCACTTACAACTCCCTGCTCTACTATGAATTTAAATAAGCTACTCACCATCTCTGGATGGGCTTCAGTTTTCTTACCTATAAAATGGAAATAATGGCCCTGCCCCAAAATTGGTTTTATAGTTAAATGAAATGGTAAATATTTTTAAACTATCTTGAAATGCATAAAATCTTCCAGTTCAATGGGAACGCAGAGCCTAGAAAAGGTGGGGGATAAAGGGTGTTTACCCAGAAACCCAAGTGTACTTCCATCAGCTTCTCAGCTTTAAGACTCAGGTTTCACAGACTACTGATGCTCTCAGGGGACTATCTGACCAGTGTTCATGGTCCACCCTGGAGAAGTGTGGGACGTGAACATGCAGGAGATTGGATGTCAGAAGACCAAACTGCACAGTTCTCGTTTTCTCAGAAATGAGCTCTGTGAAATTTATAAGCCACCTCCCCATTCTGGGTCTTGTTTTATCTTTATTGAAATGAGGAAGTTGGACTGGATGCTCCTTAATGCTCCTTCTCTCAGGCGTGTAGAATTCTGTGATGCCTGGTGCCTTCTCCAGAAAGTGTTTCTCCTCCTCCACTCTATTTCTCAATCTCAGACTTCAGCATGAATTCACTATGCTAGCCAGCCAGCTCCACCCTTCTCTCTTGTTGGGGCCCAGGGGCAGGGGTGGGCAGGGGTAGTGGCTTTGCAACCTAGGCAGGAGGCAGAAAAGGAACAGGATTGCTAGCAAACCAAAGGTCACCGAGAGTCCCTGGTACCGCTGGACAACAACAAGCCCACGCTGTGGCTCTTTTCAGCAGGATGTATGAAAGCTGCTTACCTAAATGCCAAGCCTTCACAGGTGGGTCTGAGTATCCGCCATGCTGTTGGCTCCCACAGGCAGGTCTGACTGTGCACCATGCCACGTGCTGCCTGGTTATGCATTTATTTCAAGCCTTACAACACACCCAATTGTTGTCCCTATAGAACATCTCCGGAACTACACTCAGATCTTACCATAAGTCAGAGCAAACACAATTAGGAAGGAAAACATACTAGAAAAGAGTTGAGTAGATATATACCAAGGTGAAATAAACCATAATGGTTCAGAAAGTCAGTTTGCAAAGTTAATGACCAACAAGTTTGGCTCAGGCTAGGCCCTGCTGCCTTGCCCCTACAGACCTTGGCACCTGGTGCAACAGGAAGAGAGAACAGCTGTAACTATCACCTCGAAGAAGCTTTGGTTTCTCCCTTGTGCAAAGCCCTGCTCTGAGAAAGATGTGCTTCCTAGGAAAAGAGAGTGGCTGATTGAGTTTGCAGGCATAGAGAATGTTTCCACAGCAAAAACTCATCACCAGTATGTTGTGGTTTATAAACAGATTGCTTTCACTTGAACAAGGTTTTTAAAGCAATGGAAAGGTTTTAGGAAGAAATACAGAACACTGGTGATGCTGAGGAAAACAAGAGAGCTTTCATTTTACTCATTCTTCATTTATTCATTCAAAAGTGCTTGGTAAGTAGCTGCTACATGCAATTTACTTGACTGTCAACCAAAATTGTGAGAATCCCAGTGTGATTTCAAACTGGCCTTTTAGGAAATTAAGTAGAAACGTGGTAACGAGTAACCTTTTGTCATTAGTTCTAAAAAGCCATTTGTGAATTTACTTTAGTACAAGTATTATGACAATGGAGCCATCATATATTTTGTATTATACATGCCACTCCTGCCAACTGTAGACATGATATTTAGAGAAGATTCTGTGCAGTTGCCAGAGGAAACATGTCATATGCATAAACCCAAAGTCGTCTGCTAGTGTTGGGTTTAACTCTCTAGTCTAGAGATGGTCAAGAGTTCATCTTATATGGCAACGGACTAGGATGCTGTGTTGAGACATCTCGAGGCCAGCATGCATCGTAAGAAAGAGGGCAAGAGGGATACTTGGCATCCCAGCTGCTCCATCTTGAAGGCTGCATCCCAGCATCCTTCAGGACTGCTGATCAGGAGCATTCTCCAGCTGTTCATTTTCTCCTAAGAAAGCATTAGTGATGAAGTCTGGGCTCTTTTTTCCAGGGGCATATGTGAGTAGAGAGATGAGTCTTACAGCTAAAACAAGATACCCAAGTGCTGGGCCCAGACTGTCTGCCACTCCCCTCTCTGTTCCACACAGGCACCAGCAAAGCAAGCTCTTTCCTCCCAACAGAGAGCCAGTGTCGGCATGGTGCAGTTAAGACCAAGCAAGCCTGGGGGTGATAGAGGGGACCGAATTTGGGTTGGACAAACCCAGTAGACCTATTTCTCCTTGGACCATGAAAAGCTTATCCCCTACATTTGGCTGGGAGCTAATTGTGAAAGTTGCAGCTCCTTCAGAGTTAACTCCAGAGACAGCTGCATTCCTCACCTGGTGTCTGCATAATTAAACAGCAGTTACTCCTGCTTTGTGGAACATGGACCTGGCAACCCCTGTGAGGTCCTGTGGGGACGTTCTCAGTCTGATTGGCAGACAGTCACAGCTTCTACAATGCTTGACTGAAGGGACTAAGGACGGTCCAATTTTCTCTTTCCCACCCCAAATCACATTTATCTTTCTCTTCTGCCCCCCTTCCTCAAGACCCTCCTACCATGTCCAGCCCAGGTGGACACTGACCCTGCTATTCTCTTGATGTGGTCCAGATCGGCCCTCATCTCTGCTTCTGGATTAGAATTTGAATTGAATCTCTAAAACCCTAGAATACAAATTCTTTTTTTTTTTTTTTTTTTTTAGACGGAGTTTCGCTCTTGTTACCCAAGCTGGAGTGCAATGGCGCGATCTCGGCTCACCGCAACCTCCGCCTCCTGGGTTCAGGCGATTCTCCTGCCTCAGCCTCCTGAGTAGCTGGGATTACAGTCACGCACCACCATGCCCAGCTAATTTTTGTATTTTTAGTAGAGACGGTGTTTCACCTTGTTGACCAGGATGGTCTCGATCTCTTGACCTCGTGATCCACCTGCCTTCTATAGTGTCTAAGCTAGAATATCCTTAAATATCTTGAGGATAATCTCACCATTAGGCGGAAAAGGAAACTTCACCTTGGCATAGCCAAGGACACACAGATGGCCAGGGCAGGGCTCAGGCTGACTCCCAGGGCTGATCACAGTCAAATTCCACTCACATTTCATCCTCCCCAAAACCCTACAAGACATTCAGTTCATAGTTATCTGGAGCCACATGATCTCCCTAGATAAGCACCATGCCGTTATTTTAACTCCCATTTCTATACCTTCAACACTAACATCTTATTTTAATTCCAGATCTATTTTTTAGGTGCCTAAGATTCCTCAGATGCAACCCAACAGAACCTTGTTGCCCTCCTCTTTCCTAAACCTATGCAATCTTCTATGTTTCTGCCTGTCTTCATTACATTATTCTGGATGTGCATCTATTCTGGGAGGCAAATGAGGCAACTGTTCCTCTGGGAGGCAAAGGAAACATGTCTCCCAGCCAAAGGCCACAGGGATATTGCTCTGGGGCTGAATCTCAGACATGAGGATGAACATAAGGCCACCATGATTGGCTTCCCCTAGTGGACTCTCAGGGAGTGGACATAGCTTAGGCGTCTGACATCTGTCTGTTCTCATCCAGCCTCAGCTGTCCACATTCGGGGACTGAAATTCCTTCCTCCCAAGATATTCAATCTGTGCTAGTTCAATCTGTTTCCAGGGGAGAGAGGTGTTTTAGAGCCAAGTACTTCCTAAAGGTGAAGTTAAACCTGCCTCTCTCTAAATTCCACAGTGTTAATTAAATATCCCATGTGATTGCCTATGTAATGTTAAACATGACCCCATGTTTCCCAGATGAAACACCTTGCCTTCTCTAGACCAAGCATCTCCAGGTCCCAGTGGAGCATCATGGGACCTAATCCCCAGACCACCCCAGACACACACCCTGTTTATGCCTGTGGAGGTTAAACCCTGCATAAAGTGCTAAGGACAGACCTGGATAGAGGAGAACCTCACTTCATCTCCCATGCTCCAGCAATAAGGTCAATCCAGCAGCCTGAGTTTACAGCAGTTGTGTGGGCCGCCCAGTCCGCAGGTCCTCTTCTCAATCTCGCAGGAAAATGGGGCCCAATTTTCATCAGCAATGTCTCCTTCCTGCCCTCAGCCAGTACACCTGCCTTGTGTTCTCACAGCCTCTCCTACACTTTTTCAAAGTCCTTCCCAGATCCCTCCTCTTCTATGGGTCTACACTATGTGCACCTTCTTGCCGAAAGTAGGAATGGGTCATTTCTCTTAAACATTACCTATAAATAAGAAACTGAGCTGGGCAGTCACTAAGGTCTCTTGTCACTTATATATCCTGGGATCCGATTTCTGGTTAAATGCCCAGGATGTGTTTAATTGCCCTCTGCACAGTGCGGGGCACTCAGAAAGATCTCAATGGTAAGTATTGACTGCTGACATCTGCGAGAGGCGCTCAAGCAGCTCTGAGCCCTGCTGCCCATTGGAATTACCTGGAGGGGCTTAAAACATACATAGGAATTTTGGCCTAAATGGCATGGGCTATGGCATCAGGTAAAGAAACATTTATTTATATCCTTGGAAAATATGCCAACTCAGACTTATGCCTAACCACAGTCCCTTCCTTGCGAGAAATAGAGTATAATTTTCCACAGTCTTGATATTCTCAAATATAGTATTCAATTGTTATTTAATTGTCTTATGTGCTATTAGTTGTCTTATCTGTTAAATTAATAACAGCTTCTAGTTTGCCTTCCTCCTCAAGGGCATGATATGGCCTGACCCAGTTTTATTGCTAATAAACACTTGCTCATTAAATTGAGTTGTTACATGTTAAGGAATCGAATGAACCAGGAAAGGGATGTGTTGATAGGGAAAAGGTAGATGCTGGTTCAGAAACAGGCAGAGGAGGGGGCCTTTCCCCAGGAAGGTGACTCAGGTCAGGACAAGGCGGATGGGAATAGGCTGGAAGCAATGGACAACATTCAGAAGGGAAATAGGAAAGAGATACTATCATGTCCATGCCTCTTGTTTAGGATTCCAGGTTAGGGTGATGATCAAAAAAGAGATTGAAGGGCAAGGGGCATGACTGTCATTAGTCCAGGAGCTTCAAAACCAGGATTTGCAATCACATCAACACTCGTAGCCTCCGTTTCCTTCATCTCTAAAATGAGAGACTTACACCAGAGCTTCAAAGTGTGGTTTGGGCTTGTTAGGAAGGCAGAGTCCCAGGCCCCACTCTGGGCTGGAATGGGCATTTAACCAGATCCCAACAGATGCTCTGCAGCTCAAGTGTGAGAAGTGCTGTTCTGGACAACCTCTCTGAGATTCTAAAGCAGAGATTGTTAATAGTGAGGCCACCATGGTGCTCAGACTCTGCTGCACCATAGAATCACCTGGGGAGCTCTGAAAATCATGCTGCCCACTAGAAAACTTACTGGAATAGTGGATTATTCTACATCTTCACTGGGGTGGTGGTTATATAAATGTATATATATGTCAAAACTCATGAACTGTGCCCTTTCAGTGGGGGTAGTATAGCATCTACAAACTATGCCTCAAAAAAATTAATTTAAAAAAATTATCCCCAAACTTAAATCATTACTTACAGTAAAGCTGTAATAAAGAATACTATATTTAAGAATATCAAGACTGCCTTAAAATATAATCTATTTCTCCCCAAAGGAAAGGGCTGTGCCTAGGCATAAGTCTGAATTGGCATATTTTCTAAAGATATAAATAAATGTTTACCTAATGCCACAGCCCATACCAATTAGGTCAAAATTCCTGAGTATGTTTTAAGCCTTTCCAGGTATTTCCAATGGGCAGCAGGGCCAAGAACGGCCTGAGTGCCTCTTGCAGATGTCAGGAATCAATCCTTACCATACCACTGCATTGGAATATTTCTGAGTGCCCAGCACTGTGCAGAGGGGAGAATGTGGAGAAAGTGAGAGAGGAAAGCAAGCAACACACTATGTCTCAGTTATTGATGGTCTGGTTTGGAATACAAGGCATGGACCTGCACAAACAGAGTGAAGTTACTACTGAGGCATGGCCACTCTCACAATTAAAGAGTTTGAGTCACCCACCAGAGTGTCAAGGACATGGTGACTTCTTGGAGGTCACAGATACTCACCTCTGAGGTTGCTTTTGAGAGTCTTCCTCTCAGCTCCCATCCCACCTCTGCTTTTATAGATTAATAAGTGGAGACTCAGAGAAGTCAAGCAGCTTCCCCAAAGTCACACAGCTAGGAAAGTAGAAGGGAGACCTTGAACCTATGCCCACTGGCTCCAGAGCACATACTCTTTCCAGAGTGCCACATGCTCCCCATCTGGGCAGGCTGAGATCTCCCCTCCCTTATGGATTAGCCAGAACCGATCAATTGCCCTACTGTGAGGTGCTGACTGGCTCCCTGGGACACGGAAGCAGAAAAGTGAAGCAAAGTAATGGTGCTGTGTGTTGAGGGGGGCCGGGGGTCTCTGGGTGACATCCCCTCAGCATGCAGTCCCAGGGAAATGCAGCCACTGGAGGGCACAGGTGCCTGGTGCTGCCTCAGAAAGAGGAACCACCATGTGCGAGGGAAATAATTCAACTCCAGGAGGCGAGGGCATGGCAAGCCCCGCTGCCCCTCCCCCTTTGCCAGGGCAACGTGGGATGTCAGACAACACTGTGGCCACCTCATTATTGGGCTGCTTGGCCATTGTCCCTGGGACAATGGTTTCCGGCCCTGGCTTTGTGTAGGGCTGCCAGCCGAAGTTATTAACCACGGGAGCTGCCTTTGAGGGATGTCCAAGGGAGGGGTGAAAGGTCACTGGAGCAGCGAGGGGAGCGGAAGTGGGAGGGAGAGGCAGCACAAAAGAAAGGGAAGAACCCCCGTCCCCCTCCCCTGAAGGAGCCCCAAACAGAGCTGTGCCCAGAGGGAGGCATGCAGAGGCGCTTTCAGAGGAAGTTCTTGCTGCAGCTGACGGAGGCAGCTGGGATGGCTCACCATCCTGATAGGCCTTGGAGGTATCAGCGTGGATGGGGATACAGGCTGCATCTGGAGAGGACTGAATGGGTTTGGGGGGACAAGAAACAGGAGGCTGCAGCAGAGGCTGCATTTGGAGCTTCTCAACTCACTCATTAAACAGGTGTTTGCTACTCAAGTCCTCCAATGTGCACGCCATCCGCCTGTGCCCCAACCCTCAGAGAAGCAAACTAGAGGGACCCCAATGTGTTGGTCCTGGTAAAGAAAGCTGCCTATCTTCCCCAGGCTGCCGTGTCAGCCCCTGCAAATCTGAGTGGTGTTGGCGAAGACACCCATGGTTTAGGCTTATCTGGGCAGGTGGTCGTGGAAATTTGGCCATAGGTGGAATTGCAGACATTGCGTTAGTCATTCAGTGTCAGTCTGCTTTTGATGCAACAGGAATCTGATGCTCAGATAGGAAGAGGATTCTATCAAGGGCACAAACTCAGCAACGGGCAGAACTGAAACTTGGTACATTATCTATTCCCTGCCATTGAGAAAAACTGGGCCTTTGATGTTTGACTGGAGCCTCCATCCTTGCTCTACCCGGGCCTATCCCAGATTCTTGGATAATGTCAAAAGGCATGAGCCCCTTTCCTAAGATGCCAGGCCCCATGGAAGACAGCTTTGTCCTGTCACTCAAACCAGATAAAGGCAGAGAGCACTGCCCCAGAGCTGCCGCCTCCAGCAGCCTGGCCTTCTCCTGCTCTGCCACCCCAGCAGAAGATGCCCAGAACACAGTGTGCTGCTCTCCAGAGCAGGGTTAGAGGGCCCAGAGCTTTTGGTGGTGAGGCTCCAGGAGGCCCATGACTCGTTCAAGGTCGTGGAGTCAGGGCGGGAACTCTGGTCTCGTCCATCACAATCTCTCCTCCAGCCAGCACACAAGGACGGGACACAGGTGTGATAGGGGGACAATCAGCTGAATTATAAGAAAGAATTTACAGTTGATCTATAAGTTTGGATATGTCAGGGCATTTGATTGGAAAGTATAAATTATTCTACCCAACTTTTATATTTAAGGTTATATGTTTTTTAGAACTAGAAAGGATGCTTCAGTCCTACAATGGTTGGTTGAAGAAGAGAAGAAAAAGAAGACATCAGAAAGAAAATCCCGTGCTGGGTGGATATGGAATGTGAGGATGTGGAGCTGGGAAAACAGAGGGCGTGGTGGGGAGGGGAGGGAAAGGTTATAGAAGGCCTGTATCCCATCTCAGTTCCTCCACTGCTTCCTCCCAGCTTCTGTTTTTGTTCCTCTGAATCAGACTTAGTCTCCCCCAGTTCTCCCCCCAACCTTGTGTGCCCCGCTCCTGGTCCTGCCTCACTGGACAGCCTCTCCCCAGCCTTCTTCCTCCCTGCTCCAGACTTCTACCAGTGCCCCTCCAACCCCACTCAACTCATTGTCCCCAAGGCCTCTGAGGCCAGAGATCCTCATTTTCCCCTCTCACCCACCCCACCCAAGGAAGCCTAGCACAGACCATCCTAGCTCACCCCAATCTCACTTTTTTGCCAAATGCATTTCCAAACACCCTCATGAGCTTTACTGATCTATTTGCCATCTTTCCCTGCTCTACTCCATGGGTTCCTCCTGACTGATGGAGGCTGCCCTGGGTACCCCAGGACTGAACCTGCAGCAGCCAGCACAGCTGACCTTGGGGGGATAAGCAGCCAGGGAAGGGCTTTCTAAAAAATAAATAAAGCATGGTGGCTCATGCCTGTAATTCCAGCTGACTGAGGTGGGCAGATCACAAGGTCAAGAGATTGAGACCATCCTGGCTAACATGGCAAAACCCTGTCTCTACTAAAAATACAAAAAATTAGCCGGGCTTTGTGGTGCAGGCCTGTAGTCCCAGCTACTTGGGAGGCTGAGGCACGAGAATTGCTTGAACCCAAGAGGCAGAGGTTGCCGTGAGCTGAGATCACGACACTGCACTCCAAGCTGGCAACAGACTCTATCTCAAAAAAAGAAAAAAACAACTCAGTAAGCAGATTAAATGAAGGTAGAGATGGAGCCCTCCACTCTCACACACACACATCCTCACACACAACTGGACCACACGCCACAAGTGTTGCCTGTTTCTTTGGTCATTCTTTCTATCCTCCTGTCTGTACAAAGCCAAGGACACTGTTCTACTCTAAATTTCTTGTCCCAAAGTCCCCAAATATTGCAACCCTGACCTAATGCATGAAGCCACCCCAAAATACAGCAGAGGAAACCAGGACGTTTATTTTCCCTCATCCTTTGGGCATGCCAACTCTGTGGTCACCAAGCACTGCATGGGGGACAGGGCACAGTTTGAAGGCC